TATTGGGGTGAGTACGCTCTGAGTGTGCTTTCCCCACCACCCCCCCCCCCAAAGAGGCCCCACTTTGTCTCTTCCTTTGTTAGTGAACTTGAGCTCAGCATTCGAGGTCAAACGATTACTAGTATTTATTTCTAGCAGCGAACAATACTCAATAATGTAAAACTAAGTATCTTATCAACAAAAGCTAGGGAAGTGACGCTGGACTTCGATTCACGTTATGATAATTGTTGGTCTACGAATGTGGCCCACGGAAAAATTGCGGAACTGTCTTGGACCTTTCCAGTGAGCAGCACTAGTTGCGCCCTAGAAGGGTATGTCCTAACTAGCTGACTGGACAGATGAGCACTGTTCCACCACCCTAACGAATCTTGGAAAGAAACGCGTCCACGAGAAAGATTTTGACAGTGTTGGCAGGGGGTTCTACGGACGGAGCCGGCGAATCTGGCGATTTGCAAAAAGGGCCTAATAAGTATCGAGGCGAAGAATCGGCGCTTTGCCCGCGCAAAACTAACTTGGGTGGAGTCAGCGAAATCGATGCGTGTCTAGCCGATTTCGTGTTGCGCCAAACTCGCTAGCGTTTCGTCAGGGTCCTCCCTTAAAAACACTTCCCGCGATCAAGTGGTCCTCGAAATGACTCCGTGCCTCTTTGAACTGTTATGCGCGATCACAGAGAACATACCACTTTCGTCCCACAAAACGAGGAGATAAACACACGTGAGCGTGGCACGCCTGGCTACATCATACTGTAGCTGTACGAGACAACGGCTCACAAGCTTCTATTCCCACAACACCCGCGCGGCACGTGTCGCGCGCGGCGCTTCTGGCACTTTGCCATCTTCGGTGATCCGCGCTTTCCATAGCGATTAAGCGCAAACCTCGCACCGTTGGACATAAATTGAAGACGCTTAGGCTGTTTTAGGGTTCCATATGGTTTGCAAGCGCGAATTCCAATTAGGAGGATGTGAACAAAAGAGCAGCAAACCTTTTTTGAGTTTCATACTCTGCAAGCGATGGGAAGGACGTGAACTGAAGAGCAGGTAGTTCGTCTTCCGTACTCATGGCAAGAGGAGGATAAGAAATGAAGAGCAGTTAGTGTGTTTCTCAGACTCACCTAATGATCTTTCAGATGGGGCACTATTCAATTGTTACTACCCCAATCTTCCGACATCAGACCAGTTTCACTATCGAGCTTTCTAGGCTAAAAGTTTTGTTCGCAGACTTTCTCAACCACCATATGCGAAGATCGCATCGCTTGGCCAGGAGTTGCCCGCTCACGACACAGTCCAAGCTTTGCGCTCCAGTCGCTATGGAGAGCGCGTCCTTCACGCCCGACATGCTCGTCCAAGACTGCTGAGGGGAGGTCTGTGTTTAGAGGTGTTCCCGAGGTTTTTTTCCCCTTCTTTCTCTCTCTACTGAGGAGCTACTTATGGGGGTTCATGACGGAGCCCAACTACCAGCAAGCTTGATCGCAGGATTGTCTTTAAAGACACATAGTACGCTCACACACATTGAGGGTGTATGTGACTAGCAGCCCCCCAGCTGTCGAAGCATAGCGGTTTCCCCGTTCAAACATGCGCAGGAATGGAGATACAGGACCGTGAAACACGCTAGTTCGTCCATGCTCCGCCCAATGCCTTTTTGCGGCGCAGATTCCCGTCCTTCATAACATCCGTCGTAAGCGCGCGTGTCGCGTGCGGCTCCTTGGCACTTTGCCAAGTCCTTTAATTGCGCTTTCAAATACAAGTAAAACGCAATTTCCTGATGCGGATAACATTGGAGGTGCTGCAAAATAAGAACAGAAGATGATGACGAGGGTCAGAACTTAAAAGCAACTGTGCCACTTCTGCAACATCCCTCGGAGGCCGCGTATTTCCACGAAACATGAAAATAAAAACGGCATACTCGTTAGTTTAATACAAGCAAAACGCAATTTCCTGATGCGAATAAAATTTTAGGTGTTGCTCATGCTTCAAAATCCATGTACAAGGAGATGAAGATGACACAGGCTAGAAATGAAGCACAACGATGTAAATGTAAATAAAACAAAAATGAAAAAATCAAGGAAAGGCAAATTAGATAAACTGGCCTGTAAATTTCTACGATCCGGCGCCAAAGCCATAGAAATACTTAGAACAAACGAGTGGGACGCTTGGGTTGTTTTTATTCTCATGTTTTGTGGGAATGCGCGGCCTCTGATGGATACTGCAGATGCAGCCGAGTTGCTCTTGAGTTCTGGCCCTCGTCATCATCTTCTGTTCTTATTTTGTAGCACCTCCAATGTTATCCGCATCAGGAAATTGCGTTTTACTTGTATTTGAGAGCGCAATTAAAGGACTTGGCAAAGTGCCAAGGAGCCGCACGCGACACGCGCGCTTACGACGGATGTTATGAAGGACGGGAATCTGCGCCGCAAAAAGGTGTAAGGCGGAGCATGGAGGAATTAGCGTGTTTCACGGTCCTGTATCTCCATTCCTGCGCATGTTTGAACGGGGAAACCGCTATGCTTCGACAGCTGGGGGGCTGCTAGTCACATACACCCTCAATGTGTGTGAGCGTACTATGTGTCTTTAAAGGCAGTTGGCACGATAAATCCCCCAAGACGACTAGGATCAATACTCCTGGCAGGATAGAATTCCGCGACCCTGGGCAGGCGCTGCATAGCGGTTTCCCCGAGGAAGGTGCCCTTATAAGGGCCCTATCAAGCCACAACTTTACGTCCCAAACGCCCGCCACGCCCGCCCGCCCACAAATGGACGACCGTTCCTGACGCTCGTATTCATTCATTTGAAGCGAAGGGATTGGTATGAAGCGGTGATGATGCTGCATGCATACATGGGTACACATATGCAGCCGTATCTTCGGTAGCGGTGATTGGTAAGATGCCTACGGGAAACTCGTCCGAAATCGATTTACAAGTCACTGAGAACGGAGGCTTTTTCTTCGCAGGATTTTGACCGTTTCACTCCGTTCTTTCGCCATTTCCCCACTATACAGCGCCCTACTAGCATTTTAGGCTAAGTAGGAAACCATCGTGCCAACTGCCTTTAAGAAGATCTTCGTGTCTAATTTCGTCGCGTCCCTCGAATTCCCCGAGAACCGTTCTCACCGCTCATAGAGGATGCCAGGTTTGACGCTACACATGATAGCTT